ATCCAGTATATTCTACTCATTGTTCTTTAAAGAAAAAACGTTAGTAGTCAAGATATTTTTGGTGTCCTTTTACATGTCTGTTTCCAAAGTATTGTCTTTGGTTTTCATTAAATTATATATTGTTTGTTTCAATTCAAATTATTCCTATCACTTTTTCAATATTTTACCAAATAAGGCATCCGTTCATGTATAAGATATCTTATTGGTTTAATCCCGAACATTACAAAAGAATAAAAACACCCGTAAATACGTGGGGAAAACTTGAAATTCAAGATAAAATGTAGGTAAATAACAATAACATTTTTGGAAACATAAAATATTTACGAGCATATTCAAGCAATGAGATTTATTTAACCAACGTACAAGCATGGATAAATAAACACAAGTATTCATTATTCTAAAACGAGGAAAAGACTTTTCAACAACCAAATAAACAAAACTTGTAACTATAGTAAATACAGTGTTCAATAGATCCATGATTTCTAACTATATAAAAGGTATAAGGAATATTTCTATCACAGCAACATCAATATAAGAACTCGTAACATTATATAGATTACACATACATGTGTAAAAAGTCTTATATACATACATAGTAAATGGCAGTAAAAACACGTCTTTGTGATATCGCAATAATAATTTGACTATATTTATTTATCTATATATTTACATGAATGCTTACTCTACTAAGTTGAAGGTATAATTCATAGAAGAAGAAAAATTCCAATTGAAATTTAAGGTCAACTTAACATGACTTGACATGATGTCAAACAATGACTTTGAAGAAACAAAAGTGGTTTAAATGAATGTCTTGCCTGACAGAATTGATGATGATAGCAATCACGCCTTTGTTTTGCTTAATACTTGTTCCGTAATTTGGAAGTATAATGAGTTTAAAATCCATTATCAAGGGACTAAGACTTTGGATAAAGCTTAAGAATTTTGTTCTGAACATGTTTATATACATAAGAATAGAAAATGCATTTTTTCAGCAATATCATGCATGCGACAGTTTCATTCAAATATATACTTCATCAAAATATATATTGCAAAAATTGTGTAGCATATCATCCTAGATATTCAAAAGATGCATTTTAGTATTCAGTAAATATATACATGTATAATAAATAGATAAACAAGAATGTTCCTACAACTATTACATTTTACATAATATTTTACGCAAAACTCAAAGTGGCTCAAAAGTGATATGACAAATTCGAGAATAGTATTTTTTGTTTGATAGTCAGGATCATTTTCGTTAAATGTATAGAATCAATAAAATCAATGCATCCATCAAATCATATTCTGTCGACTACTTCCCTTTTCATAGAGTGACTGTTTATTTTATTTTTTTATCTACAAATTATTTCATTGAGATGATTGTGTGCTTTACCGGTAAATATAGGTAAATATCTATATCTTTTATATTATTTTTCACTATAAACGGTGAAATATTTATGTGATCAATATAATAACATAATGTTATTGTATAGTCACATCATACACAGTATGTACAATAGTTATCTACATTATTTACATATATTTCAAAGAAATACATTTTTATCTACATTAACGTTTGTAACAATAAATATCTACAATATTATATATTTACATCTCTCTTTATAAATAAATGATCTAGTTTCGACATATTGATACATAATATGTGTTGTCGCAAAATAACCAATCAATGAAGATGTGTTTATGGATTCCAATTATTACAGAACTTAAGTCGTCGCAATTTTCCTACATCACGATTGGGTTTATATATATATATATATTGTGGTGATGAATACATTTCTTCTTTTTGCATATGTAATGTTATTTTGAATCCTTTAAGTAATCTGTCATTAATTTGCTGAATATGAAGGCGATAAAAGTTGAATACAAGTAGTTTAAAATAATACAATATTTTGTTAAACCTGTTCAACCAAAAATGCACCGATTGTGTCATCAGCAAAACGAAAAAAATCTTAGGCGCGCCTGCTATTTCTCTGAGAGAATGGTCCTATATGAACATAGACACCGAACAACATAAATATGAAAACAAAGCATGGAAGAGATGACGAAATTGAGGATAGAGATATTTGTCGAATTTTCGCGGCGTCTGCCGCTTGTCAACACACAAATGTACTTGCAACCATACAATTATGATACACCAGAAATACACATTATCGGCCCTTTTTACAGAAAAATGATTATAATTTTAATAAGGTTTTATTGAATGTTTTTGACATTTGGTAATTAGTGTAGAAGCTTTCTGTTCAAATATTAAAAGCCAATCTTTCAATTGACAAGTTACAATATTGATCTTTTATTTTTTATTTTGATTTTAGAAATTAAAGCGAGTACCGTCAATTTTGTCGAAGACAACAATTCTCTCCGATATTACAGAAATGCAATGTCCTATCATGTTTCCCGTCCGATTTTTTATCTAAAATTTTTTAATAGTTTTATAAACTACAAATCATAAAATAGACCATCAACGGTAAGAAAAAAGCTATGGCTTTTCCTAAAAATAACCTTTTTTTAAAGATCTTTACTTGAAATGTAGTATTTAATTTTTTACATATATGATTAAAGAGTTTATGATATATATATATATTATGAAAAAAAAAGTTTTTATTGTAACTACACATACATTCATTTTTTTATAATATTCTTTTTACAAAATTTTACATATTTTTCATCAAACTCGAGATGTACCGGTAGACTACTTTCCTCGGAGTGTGACATGCAATTGTTTTCGTAGCGGTCATATATACGCTCAGTGTCTACAGTGTCATACAAACCGAGATTTATATAAAACATTTTTGATATTTTAATCACCATCTACCACACAAGAACTTAGAATGTTTTTTGTCCCTCATAATTGGCTTTCGAGGTCCATCGGTGGAAGGGATTATCGAGACACCTAAATTTACACTGCTGTTCTCGATTTTACTTTATAACTTTGCATGTATTTATGTAATTTTTGTGTCTTGCCAAAGGGGCAGATAGTCTCAAACATTTGACAATTCGCTTTTCCGTACTGTGGTTATTTCTTCATATAAATAAGATATATTTCTTAATCTGAAAAATCCCATTATATTAAAATCCCTCAATAGAGCTATAGGTGGTGTTTTGGTTTGCTTTTGTGTCCGTTCTATTTTGTGCGTGTGTGTTTTCTTTTCATCTAAAATATTGCGCCCAACTACTATCATGGATGCAAACAATCAGTTTTATAACTGTTTAATATAGTTTCTCAAGGCTCAATAGGTAAATCATAATATAATAATTATGAGTTAAAATATAGTGTATACTCAACATTGAATATGTATAAAATATCACTATTACTGAAAACATACTTTGTAATAAAATTATTTTCAAGCTATTTGCCTATTATATGGGATAAGTTTTTTTCTGATGTTTGGTGAAGCTGAGATAAATATGGTACGGAGCTACAGATTCAACAACAAATCCTCTATAGAAGAGAACTATATAGTCGTTATTGTTTCCTTGTTTTTATCCAATTAATTTGAACTGTAGTTCTCTTCACATTCTCCGAATGCATGAAAACTCCGATATTTAAATATAATTTTCCATCAACTGTTAATAAACAGTATAAAAATTGCATAATAATAATATTTGCAATAAATATAGCCTTAGTCAGGATGGTTGTAAATCTCACATAATGTAAAATGATGAACATATTTTATAGTTATACGTATTAACATGTATAAAGAAAGAGTTTCAATAACACACAAACAGACTCCTGTGCACTACGGTAATATGTTTTAAACACCTAATTTTAAACTAGTCCATATGTTGAAATCAATATATCTTTTGTATTTCTGTATTTTAATGTAAACTATTTATTTATATGTATATTCAACATTTAAACAGGTTTTATATTGAATTTATGTATTTTTCTCTCTTTCAACCATTCAACTATCAAACAAAAGTAAGTTTTTGATTGAAATGTATCTAGAAATTTATTATTGAATAATCATGTTTAGACGTATATTTTTATATGCAAAATTCATCTTCCTGGGGTGTTGTCATTAACATTATTCTCATAGTTTTGTCATATAAACCGAAGTTGTGATTTCAATACAGTTCATACATGATGCCAAGGCTTGGCATCAGCTGGATATGTAAGTTTCCCAGTGAACTTGATTGATGGTTATCTTAATTAAAAGAATACGAAACGAAATTAAAATCATAACGAAGATTTCTATATATTTGTTTTCTTCGTATTGTTTTCTTCCCATGAATCATTTATCATTTCATATTTCAAAAGTATCGTGTGTATCATTACATATATATCATACAAATTAGCGTCTTATCACAATCATAATTAATCTTGTTCATACGCGAAATCAGACGTATGCATCTATACCTATATCATTTCGCAAGGAAGCTTTTGTTTGAATAAGATTCAATTTCTGTAAGAATCTTTAACTAGAACTAGAATAATACAGTGTTCATAGCTATGTAATACAGAGTTATCACTCTATAGAAAAACCTGCAAGGATGCGCTAATAACGGACACGTAATAAAGGTGTAAAACATCAATTACTCACATATGTTAATGTCTTCACACAGACGCCGTATACTAATAATAGACTTAGACATGCTATCTAATAAAAAAATGTTTAACATCTATAGATACACAACCATCCATACTCCAGTGCTTAATAACGACTTTAAATTTCTGCCATTCGGTATCAAATTAAAGCATTATATCTTAATCAAATGGAATCTTTCTTGGATCTGTTACCTTCTACCCACATTTAGACTACTTCTAATCGGATGAAGTATGCCTTCAGGAAAAAGGTAAAATACTATTTGTATAAAAAAATTATCAAATGTATTGCACCACATCAACTGTATGTCCGTACACTTGTATTTCTAAATATTTTTCTAATGTTTACTACCAAAACAACTATCTATGCTGTTTCCAAAATAACTATATTGAAACAATATGTCCAAGTATCGAAAGAAACTAAATGCATTTCATTTCACCTTGGGCCATAAAATGAGTAGGTTTCAGGATCCTTCGGCTCGAAATAGTCAATTTCGGCATTGCCGATATAGGTGTTTTCAGAGTTTTTCCCAACTCTTAAGTGATTTTCGCCGTTAAGATTTTGTACTTCCTTTATTTTGCCGTTAGGTAGTCCTCCATTTTGCATGTAGGTGCTGTAGTCTTTCGGAGGGGGATCAGCAACAAGAATATCACATTCGTCCGTGAATGGTTTATACTCATAGATCTTTCTCAAGAAGAATAGCACCGGTGCATACAAGAGGTTGCTGAGCATTATTGCAACATTGAGCCACATGAATCCAATGGTCTGTACGATTTGACCAGCCATAATGGGTCCTAACGCATATGCTAAGGAATACGATATGTCGGCAATGGCGTAGACACTACCGTACACGGACGAGTGTCGAACATCAACAAGGTAAGCTAATGTTGGTAATATAGCAGTGTCCACAAACGCAACTCCCAGACAGAGACCCATCAATGGGAACAAAACCACAAAGAAAGCACTGGAAAACGGAATTATAAAACAACACACTCCTTCAATGATAAGCCCCACTAACGCAACAAGCCATTGGTAATTAGGATATGTCTTAGCAAGATACACGGTTAAGACCACACCTCCTATGTACGGCAAGAATGGTGGCAGCCAAACAAATCCTATTTGCCATTCAGTCGCATCCATTGTTCCTTTCATCCACATAGCTATAGTGGGCTCAAGAAATGCTAGTGATATGTTGGACATCGCTAGGGCACCAGCCGCTACTAAGATGTATGGGTCCATGAGTAGTCTATAGATAGGAGTGCCTTGTGGACGCTCTTCCTTTGGTATCAGTGATCTTTCTAACCGGACAGGCTTCATAACAAAGAGCAAGAGTATTCCATCCACTAAACACATGGTGGCGAGAAAAATGAACGGAACAACCTTTCCTGCAAACTCAAACAAAGTACCTCCGAACGGTGGGGCAACTAAGCATCCAAACGAAATAAAGGATTGCGCTATTCCTAAAGCCTTTGTTCGTTCTGCATCTTCCCGATATCTATCTGCAATCATAGCAAGGCCAGATGTATCTGCAAAGGCAGATCCGAGTCCTTGTAAACTTCTTGCGAAGAAAAGAACGGCATATGTTTCGCCAAATGCAAATATTATTGTAGAAAAGAACATGATAATAAGACCTATCATCAGTGGAATATCGTATCCTATCCTGTCTATGAGTGCACCTGTAAATGGATTTACCATCAGCTGAACGATTGCCTTTGATGCAAACAGAATACCGACCGCACCACCTCCTTCGGCATAATCTGTATCTGATGAGGAATCAGATTTGGGTGGTGCAGTCAAGTTATACGTTGAATTCCATGTTGCATTGAAAGGAGCTTGTACCACAGCTTCGTCATCACTTCCCCAGTCTAGGACATCCTCAAGGTACATCGGTATGATCGGCACAATCACCATGTACAACATGTTATCCAAGAGCAACGCCATGCTTACGATCAGAAGAACCAGACGTCGCTGTGCTATTGGATCATTTATTCTATCATTCAACATCTGAATGAAGTCTGTCACTTGTCCTTTCATCGTTATTGCTATCGACACCATCTTGAAACTTTGTCCTAATTGTTGATTTTTCTTTCAAAAATATAAATCCCAAATAATTCCGCTGTTCTTTGTACAGTGTTACAAACTTGCCGTAAATTCCGTGTAACGAATATCACAAAATCACCATAGAAAGCATTCTGAGATGAGTCAGATTTAAAAGAGCTGCACTTTTCAGTGAGAAATATTAAATTACCTGAGAGTCCGATGAAAGCTTTTTCACATGGTACTTAAATGTCTTTCCAAAAGTAGAATTGTCCCATCCGTGTCCTTCGTGTATAGTGCCAATAGTTCTGTGTTCTCTCGGAGACAATGCCACCATAGCCTTAAAGAGGAGAAGAAATAGAATCTTGTTGAAGTCTGCTGTAAAATATCCGATACTTAAATAGACAAGAAAAGAAGTAGTACTTATAGGCACAGAAAATCATAAGCTGATGCTAACACAATGCTAGGCGATAGAGTCACCAATACCGTCAACCACAAAATGTAGCATCACTTTCATTAGATAATTTGGTAATATCATCGATCGTGCTTCCCGTTTAGTAATCCATTAGTTTATGTCTCAACTTCTGATAGTTTTCTTTCTATTCTCGCTATCAGATATAAATCGCAAATATAGTTGGATTGTTTCTCTGTCGCTGTTTTGTATGTTTAAGTATTCTCAACATGACAAAGGTGAGTTTCGTCCCTTTCAATAATGTATCTTGTGTTAAAGAATGCTTTATAAGGCCTTAGTGTTAGATACTCTCGTCGGCTTTAGCACCAATCGATCAACGACTAGGCGTTGGGTATCATTTAACCTTTCTCGATAATCTCGCTATAACTGCTTACATATCTTATTTGAATACCAATATTCCATATTAAAACAATATACAATAATCCTGTTTGAATATAGAGTTATTCCAATGTTAATACAATGGTTCGGGTAAGCTGTTTTAATGAGCAGTTTTAGCCTGGTTAGATTATGATTGAGAAACACTTGTATTACCTTGTTTGCTAATAACTTCGCCTCAGGTTAAGAGTGGCTATTCGTAATGTATTATCATGAAGACAGATATAAATTTTCAGACCTTTAATTTAGTTGGTTTTAATCATGGCGTTCGTTACAATGAGCCAATTTATATGGTATCTTGCCCTAAAGCATTAAGAAACGATAGCCAGATTCATTTATCGTAATTACATTCTAGCGCAGTGCTACATTTCGCCTCAAGGCCATAACGATTATATAATACTTAATATTAGGAAATATTATTTTATACAACATAATTGTTTAATTTTGTAAAACATTGCTATATGTTTCGAAGAAAATTTAGTGACCTGCCAAATTGAAACAGATCATCACAGTTAAATAACTTTTTTCTTCATCTTTATTTCCTGTTTTCTATTAGACAAAATAGAAATTCACTGTCATTATTCTTCTTTTTATTATTATTATTTTTTTTTGAGGGTTGGTGTGGGGTGGGGGGGGGGGGGGGGGGGGGGGGGTTGGGTTTACACGGTATTTGAAATGCCCAATTCATTGTAATAATTACTTGCCCTGTTTTTTATTTATATATCATGAAAACAAAACCTTTTCAAATCTGCCATCCGAAGCTCAGTAATCTTTGGAGGATTATTCAATTTTTCCTGTGTCTAATTGAATAAATCCGATGCAGTGTTCTTCCAAGCAGAGGAATATAACCCATACCTACGCTCTTGGACGCTATCAAAATTGATTTCTGTAGTACGGAGCAATTTTATAACAAATACCATTTGATGGTTTTATTTTTCGTCGCTTTCTTTCATCCTCCCTTTTTATTTATTTTTGGAATTAGAAATGTCATTTTCATTCATGCGTGTTTCATAAAATTTGGAGATATTATATATACGATAACGTTTTATACTGTCTACTAAATCATATTTTTATACAATAATTTACAGGTCGTCTACTTCCTGATTGGTATTCAGTTATTATCAATAAGCAGGCCATTCTCCGATATCTCAGTTAAGCTTGTTATAAAAAGAACAAAAGTCACTGTCCTTTTCTAAAGAAGCACTGGATCAATTTTCTTGGGGAATCTTGCTCATTTAGGTTTCTGGTAATGATATTTTCTGCCTGAAAAAGTCTTTTCCAACCGGAAAATACCAATAAAGATGCCTCTACTTTATTCAGTTGAGTAAACAACTGTATTCATGTGGCTTTGGTTCCATCGATCGGACCCAGGCTAAGATTGCGGGCTGGCTTTATAACATGGAGGACGAACGAAATTACACATAATTTGGACAACATAAAACCTCTACAAAACGAAGCAAGGAGATCCTAGATTAGTACTACACATGGAAATTGATTTAAACGTTGATTTTAGTAATGCAATTTGTAGCCAAGATTTCTCTCAATGTTAACAATATCTTAGTATTACAATATGCCCACGTGGTTTTACAATATAACAAACAGGCTTCTGTCGCCGATACAATTTTCTAAATCTTTTAATATTAATTTTTTTTTTTGAAAATGTCGTTGATGAGCTACGTCAAATTTTCATTTATAAGTGACACAATGTGGAATAGGGAGGGTTATGCTTAAAAATTGACCATTTTACTGTCACAAATTTTAAAATAGATAAGACTCTAGAAAACAGGAGAGGACGAAATGGGGAGAAGTAGCACGAGAAATAAGCGATAATTTAATTACTTAATGTTAAGAACATTTTAGATAACAATTCGGCTCGTAGGATGAATGGAATATTATGAATATCTGCTGTTAATTCAGCTAAACTGTTGGGTTTTATGTTACATGTTTCATAGCAGCACTTTCATAAAGGAGTAATTAAAATTGCTAGGATAGTTGCTAATCAAAATATGTTCCCAGAAGAAAATAAGAATTAAGGTAACTAAATCTAATAACTTTCCCCGTATTTCGTTTAAGAAAAAAAATGATGTTTGAATTTTGAATTGACATCATATTTTGATAAAGTAAGATTTAGCAGAAAAATGATAACAATAATAAAAGTTCCATATTTTAAAACTTCTACTGAGTGTTTAAGTTATAATTTCATCGAAAACAAACCAAAAATTATATTCTCTCATGTTTAATACACGAAAATTAAGGATTCGGAATATCAAAATATAAATTTGTTGCTTGCCTAACTGCTTAAAACGGAAAAAAGTATTAGCTTACTGTGCTGTATCAGTGAGAGAAACGCATTGGCAGAATGAAATCAAGTCTCTCAAAAAATATTCAGTTATTATTTTTTCTCCTTTAAATTTTTGTCAAGCAGCTTTCATGTTATTTTTAAGTGTGAAAAATGTTTCCAGAACGAAATGAAATGATTTCATCTTTGTAGTATTGCAAGATAAGAAAACGGACGGAAAAGAGTTTTCCTTTGTTTGGCACCTCGTGTGCATCACCGTATCTGTTAAATCAGTGTGCATCCATTTGTCTCTAACATTACCATACATAATCAGTAATGGGTTTAGTCAGTGGTTATAGGCACATCCCACCGATACATCTGACTGGCGACATTATCAAAGAAGTTCAAAGGCACCAATGACGTATTCGTAACCATGTCGCCAGGCGTGATCCTGAAATATTTAGTTCTTGTTGTTATTAATGCTGGTCTGATCCATGGGGTGTACGGCATGTTAAAAATAAAATCTGTTATTAGCACTGAAGGGATACGTGATTTCCCCAAGTCTCCATTAACATATATATGAATAAATGATCCCTTCTACATCTTCTTACACACTGATAATCCATAACAATTAAACACAGATAAATAATTAAAACTTCCCCGAGCTCAAAGAGATGATGGCGTTAATTACTGAATTCCAGCTTCCAATAGAAATAAAACATAATTTAGACGACTATCTAGACGCGATTTCATGGAGAGTGTAGTCCAAAATATTCCATTTAAAGATACCTCAGTATATCTTAATTCTACAGTAGTCTAGCTGTAAAATCAATAGGTTCGTCGTTAATCAATGTGTATGTAACCACAAGGAAATAACACGGTATGTCATTATAACAGGATCGAAAAGAATAAAAGAATTTTCAGAGAAAGGTCGGGTAATGTTATGGAGAGCGTACAGGGTAGATATTAAAGAAATTACAAATAAGTCACTATACCTATATTACTTACTTTTCCGAGCAGTATAATCACATCATATTAAGCAATATACTCATTCAACGGTTTTTAAGCATTTTCTTTTTAACAAAAATCCCCTAGCAATATGATTTTAAGCTTAATTACTACAAACAATTGTTTGCGAGCAGGTATACTTGTAAACACTCTTGCGAACCATATCTATTTGCCAACAAAATAACAACTCTTATAAAAAAATTATCAAATATAAGGTATGCTTATTAACTTTTACTTTGATTGTCAATTCACACCAGAAATAAGCTTCTATCGGGACACATTATTTGTCATTGATTGCGTTGAGTAAAGAGACAAATTTCTTATTACGAACCAAAACAATCGTGTAAAGCTCCCGAGTTAATACAATTGACCACCGTAAACTCATTATTAGTTCACAAATCTGTCATAAGGAAAAGTACATTTTCGTAACCTGGCAATTTACAAACCGGAAGTGACTCAATTGTTGCTTTAAATAGCGACAGATAAGGGAAATAAACGCATCACATCCAACCCCACACGGAAATGAAAGCAATAGTTGTGTTTTAATCTAAGCTGCCATTATATCCATTCGTTTCCACTTAAAGTTATAAACATTTTCGTTTATTCAGTGTGAAGAAACAACGTGTAAATGACTTGTTTACCCGAAACGAACCAAATCTTCCTTTCAGAGAGCTTTTTAGAGAAAGCAATTCGGCACTTGATTTTAAATTCACCGTCTTCTCTTTTAATTCCATTAAAGTTTTTAAAACTTGAATTTACAGCCTCTCTAAGCCTATGCATTAAGTTAGTCTTGCCTAAGTAGGATGGAGTTCAATCATGACATCCTAAACCGCAGCTAGAGAGTGCGGGTCGTTTACCATTGATCACCGCTAGAAATCAGTGTCA